TTAATAAGTTTATTAATGTTATGCTGTGTGTTTCATTGATATGTTTAAACATAATACACAAAGAGAAATAAACTTTATATTAATTTTAAACGATGTTTGAAATCCGAATAACTAAATACGGCTCAAAGTTTGAATAATAATTAGCATGTGAAAAACTTTGGGGGCCACTTGGGCCTGGGGACGAGGATGTTGAAAAACAACCAATCAGAGCCCGACTTTCACCAGTGTTTCCCAGAGCCTCAGCAAGCCTCCACAGAGGATTGCGGGCTCTGGTTTCGAGATTGTGCTTTATAAGGTAATATCAAATTGTCTACATATATGATATTCCGTACTGGTAATTGTACTTTTGACCGCATTAATTACTGCCTTTGCTGTATAGTGTATATAAACACGGCCAATAACCGTTATTACTATTTAGTTTGTAATTCCTGGCCGTTTATTAATTAATGAATTTGGTATATTTATTTTCGAGATATTGCCAGAAAAATTGAGCGTTATTGTCATATCTTAAATTAGCTTTGATAATCTAATTAACAATCGCCCTTTTGATTGGTTGTTATTTTTGTGCATAAAAATGACTGTCCACTTTTCATTGACTCCAGTAGCAGGCTGCATTTCAAGCATAGAGTAGGGTTGCGCAGGAATCAATTTTTTAAGTTCCGGCCGGAACCAGATCCGACCAGAACTGGAAAAAAGTTCCGGCCGGAACCCTTTTATTAAGCCATATATGGTCATATGTTACTTTGTAAAACGAGACACACAATGGTCGCATTATAAAACGTTTGTAACAGGGACTCATAGTCACTGTTCCATTATATTGAAAAGCGCCATTCCTTCAGCCAATTCATCCAATTTTATCAACCTTCTAAGCGTTTTAAAAGAAAGGAGTCATAACATTAACATTTTGCCATACTAATTTATGTAAGCCATAAGGCATGATCATTTTCAAGAAAAAAGTATACCATAATCAGCTGGGGGCAGTTTTAGTGTAAACTATTTTTTGTAATAAAGCTTGATTGATTGATTGATTGATTGATTGATTGACTCATGCTATTTTGATGCTCTTTGAAAAACTTGCATGTTTTGTCCAAATTGCAACTGTGATTCAATTATTGTGCATATTATTGCAGTAGGCTGATGCAATATATCAATATTTTTTATAAATATTGATATTTCAAAAATTTCTATATTGGATGTACTGTAATAATAATTTAGACATTAATACAATAAAACAACAATCTGATTTATTATTTTATGTAATGTTTTTGGTTTTAAATGCCCATAATAATATTGAAGCAAAGCAAAAGGTGAAATGACAAGTCCTCTGTATATGCCTTCTAGATTTGCTGAAATACATTTGCACTTTTCCAATATTTATTATTAGCATGACAAAATTATTAGATGCTGATTGGTTGAGAGGAGTACAAAATTTGGAAATTTGCCTATTAATTTTGGCAAAATTTCCAAACATTACTAACCTTGTACTATTAATCCCTAATTGTACTCGCCATCACATGATTACCTATACTTCTTGCACATCATTAGATATTCATACAATAGACCAGATATATGCTATGTTTAGAATTATTTCTAAATACAGTTAACAGTAAGCTGTATTTAGAAATTTTTTCTAACGACATTTACATCTAACACTTTTTCTGAACGTTTGAAAACTACATAAATATACGAAAAGGAAAATTACGATTTTTTACCAACTATCATAATAAACAGCGCTTTAATTAAACACTACAGCAATAATACAACAACTGGTGTAATTTACATCACTTGTATCTATCTGGATACCCCGTCTAGACCAGATATATTTAATTGCTATGTTTAGAATGATTTCTAAATACTGTTAACAGTAAGCTGTATTTAGAAATTTTTTCTAACTACATTTACATCTAACAGTTTTTCTGAACGTTTGAAAACTACATAAATATACGAAAAGGAAAATTACGATTTTTTACCAACTATCATAATAAACAGCGCTTTAATTAAACAGCAATAATACAACAACAACTTACAACTAGCCTGCGAACAGGCTCTCAAGCTGAATTGAGAGCCTGCATCGATGACTAATGAATTTGAATATCTGCGTCTCAAATCGTGACGCGAAATTCTCATTGGTCAGATGCTATAATTTATATTATTCCGCTGAGCTCTATATATGTCAACTGTTGAAGCACTATGCATAAAAAACACATTAACTGATCAAATTGGTCTTGGCCATCTTATCTCAAAGCACGAAATGTTCTGTTTTGAGAAAACAGTATTTAAAACATTTAAACTTTTGCTTGAATATCTTATATTTCGAAAAACAGTATAACTGTACGGTCTAAATTTAGTTTGCACGGTCTAAATTTAGTTTGCACGAAAGTTGTAAACAACACCATATAAGGATAGACATTCCATATTTGGAAAAACGAACGTTACGGGGCAGATATTCAAATTCATTAGTCATCGATGCAGGCTCTCAATTCAGCTTGAGAGCCTGTTCGCAGGCTAACTTACAACCAGTAATGTTTACCGTCTAATATATATTCACTTCGGCTCTTCCATTTTCCACCAGATAGAGCCTTATCGCACACACAATCTGAAAGATTGTTTTTTCGGATCTCCATCCTTGTCAGCGATCGCGAGTGGCTTTCTGTGCATTTTCAATACTGTGTCTGTGCTCAACACTTTCTGGTTCTCGAAACCGCTTTTTCTTATTATTATAAGAAGATGCCATGCTCCTTTGCCAACAAAATTAATCTATTCATGACGAAAGCGAACTGAATGCTTCGTTACACTTCATGCAAACTTTCAAGCGAATGCGATCGTTAATGTCCCAATAGTGGTATCACTGATAAAGATAGCGGCCTCGAATGAAAATATTGAATGTTTTCGCGATTATTTTGCTGTTCGCTATCGCGCACCTGACCCTAGCTTTTTTTAAAAGTTCTTGCACGGGTCAGGACAAAAAATAAGCCATCTTGAATATCAGTGATACCACTATAATCACAATGCAAAGCGCTACGAAAACGTAATAAGGGGAATCTAGTATTATCTTACCTTCTCCCAAAAATAAGAACAAATTACGGTCTTTCTAATATTAAATACAAAGGACCTTTGACATGGAATTCTTTGGATAAATCCTTAGAAAGTAGCTCATTGGCTGAACTGATTTACTGAGATCTATTTTATCAACTTTAATAGAAAAGTAATAACAACATGTAATCCGACAAAACTATTATTATATGCATGCTTGGCCTTTATTCTGATTAAGTAACTATGCTTCAAATTAAGTGTTTTGCGTCATTTTCTTATGTCTTTAATTATTATATAATAGGGGCCTGTGCTTTTTAGCCTTTATATGGTTATTACAGGCATCTATGTACCATTAAATTATCTTAAGAATATTAATTTTGTATATATCATATGTAGCCATATGGTACAAATAAATTATTGTTGTTTAAGCTGACTAAACTGTCGATATTATCGTTATTGTTTTTGATATCGACTTGAAAAACTTATTAATAATTCATGAGGAAAACACAAAGAAAAATCATGAGCGTGTCGTATCTTTAAGATATTTATAATGTAATAGAGATTTCCCTTGATTTACACAGGCTTTAACTTTGATTTTCTCGACTTACACAACGTATTTTTGAAAATTACTTCACCAATAAACTTACTAGATCGATCGTTTTTGAAGCAATTTAAAACATTCGCAATGCGTGTTTTATCAGACCTGAAGATACTTGGCTTCGCCTCGTATTTTTATATGTGATAAACACTGCTGCTCATGTTTTAAATAGTACATATCGCATTCAGTAAGGGCATTGTATTCCTCTGAGTCAATGCTGTATTCTTTGAAACAGCTATATACATTGCATTTACAATAAGATATTGTATTAGGATGAACACAATATCACAAGTTAGTATGACTTTTGGCAAAAACAGTCAAGTTTGGTGACTTTCGCGTGATAAACTCTCAACCATAAGCTGTCACCTGGAAGAGTGGGCTTTGATACTGTGATGTCAACGCATTTGACGCAACACATAAAAAATTCAAATTTCAAACAGTGCATTTTTAGTGGATGTAAACGGTTGCATGGAGTTGTTTCATATACGACGACTGGTAAACGGCCCCCTTAGATACGCGTATAATCATTTTAATTCTATGTAATTATAATTATTAGCTAAAGCTTGTGAATCCCAGCCCGGCAAGGCTCATACAGCTCGTGACACAGTTAAAATGGCGACTACAGGAAGGCCAAGGTGAAGCTATATATCAGATAGGAGTGGAAGACAACGGCATGCTAGCTGGTCTTACGCGAGAAGAATTGAACATGTCACTGAATACACTGAAAAGAATGGCTGCTAAACTTGGATCAGAGACTACAGTTTTACGAGAGCAAGTGGTTGATGGATTTGTGGGTGAGGATAACGAAAGAGTTGTGGCTGAAGTTCTTGTTCGAAAAGTTGCTGATGATCAACCATAACATTGGGCTGCCTATGATATACCCGTATTAAAGAACGTTCTTCTCTTGACTCTTCTGAAATATATAACCATATTATTAGCTGTAATTAATTCAATTTTGTAATAAACCTACTCGAACTAACACCTAATGACGAAGTTAATAAAATTAAATGTTCACTAAACAGATTTAATATTTACTAACACTAAAATAATAGACTCTCACTGGTCGTTGATACTTTATCAAGAGTCTATTGCTATAAGTAGAATGAAACCGTCCCTAAACCATGGAACTAAAGCCTCTAAAGATCTATTAATATTTAAGAGAATGTCTATTTGGCGTGGGTGGGTGAGTCGTGGGCCGTGCGTCGTGGGTCGTGGGTCGTGCGTCGTGGGTCGTGCGTCAGTAAATCGCAAAAAAATTTAAAACCGAACTATACCATGAACTGCCAAAATTTTGCACGAATCTTTTTAGCTATATGCCACATCTCTATTAACTATGACCACATTGGCAAAAATGCTGGTAGATTCGCTGAACTTGTGGGTGGTTGAATTTAATTACACTAATTTAACTTGTAAAAGACATCGGTGACCTCCAAATTTAGGCTGTTGCGGCATATCGATATACCGATAATTATCTTTTTTATCAAAATACCGATTACTCGATATTGGAATTTTCAATATATCGGAATATCGATATTTTTCGGTATTATCGATATCACGTTTACGTTTGTATATTTAAACGTCATATCAAGCTTTTTCAAGCGCTGATTGAAGTTATTTCAGCAGGACAAAGACGATCAATGTGCTAACTCCGCGGGAAAATCCGTCAATTAAGGTTAGAGCGCGATCTAAAACGTGTTTGTATATACGTTACGTTGGCGTACGTTGCAAGGTACGGTAACTGTCATTTCGCTTAGTTATAGGTAATATGTCATTTCGCTCGTGAACTTTTAGAACGTAAACAACGGTGGATTACAAATGTTTTAGAAAAACAAGAACTAACCTCATTGGACATTGTTAGTTTTCTGG